TAATAGTGATAATCAATTGCTGTTCTCTAAGATTTCACTGATTGTTAGTTAGCATATATACATCAACTGAAGCGATAAACAATTACGTTGACTTGGCTGAATCCATTTGTCCAGTTGATTGCGCCGCAAATCTTTTCCTGCCGCAACGATGATCTCGAACAATTGTTTCTGATCTACCAGTTTCGTTGAGTCACCGATCAGTGCATGATAAGCCGCTTCGAAAAGTTTTCGTTCTGACTTTTCCACTTGTACTGACATGAACTGCAAATTGGAATTATTGATACTAAAACTGAAACAATCACCTCGAAAGAGTTGGAGTACTCTCTCTTCTTCGACAGTTTAGTGAATAATTGTTTCAAGCAAAAATTTGGATACTATATGTATCGAATAGCTAATATTCCGTTGGGATTGCCTATAATTAGTGAATCAGACTACTGGACGGCAGCAAAGAGTAGTTCACTTTCAGATATTCAGCAAAATGTGAATGGATGTCAGATGGAATTTGTACGCATGATTATAATCGATTCTGGGACTGAAATATTGCTGATTTTGTGCAGTAACTGGAAATAACATACTAATTCTATGGGTTTTGCAAAAGCAATGCTTATACTTCACGTACATGATATCATTTTGGGCAATATGTAAGCAGAGAATGCTTGCTGCAGGTTGTCATAGCAACTGTTTAATTGAATCAGAGGCTATAGCTGTTTCATGTAAATCTCGCTCAAACGCACATTTTAGTGAACATCAAGAGATTTTTACCAAGACGTTGAGATCGAAAATGTGCAGCTATCTAGAAACTGACGCAGACATCGATAAAGAAAACGACTGTCCACAGCTGTAATTTTAATTGAGCTGAATAATTTAATTGAACTATTGTCTGAATAATTTCTCTGAATAATTTGAGATGACTTAAGAAAACGAATTCAGTTAAAGTATCTCAAAATATCTTGTGTAAATCTCTTTCTGTTAAAAGTTGAATGAAAGAACAGTCCGTTCTTCTAGCAGTATCTTCCAAAACACCGTGCGATCATCTCATCCACTGCACTACCGTATATCTCATACAAGTGCGATCATCTCATTATCCACTGTAGCACTATCGAATACTAATTCTCTAATGAGTAATCAAAATGGTTATCGATTCTTTGAACAACCAAGCCAATCGTTAAAATCAGTGAATCCATGGATTAATTCGTGAAATTCGCTCAATTTGAATTCGATGACATCTAATTGCAAAATCTGTTACCCTTCTGTATATAAAATGACGAAAATGTGTGAATTTTCATCTGATGCATGAAGCCCTCTGATTTGAGGATGATCTGATTGTGAGTCTTATTCAATGAAGACAGTGCATCCATTAAATTGACAATAAAATCAATTTATAACGATCCAACTGAAGGAATCAGCTGATGATTGAAGAACTTAGGAGATATTCACTATGTGAACACTCGCAGAAAATTTCCAGCTGTAAGCGTTTAAGTGCCAAATTGCGGCAATTGCAAATGTTGGCTAACAGTCAACAATTGCTGAAAAACGTGGAACTTTTGCTATTTATATGTTGGAATATAATTTTTAAATTAATTTTTGTTAACATTTATCCATTAAGAAAGCCGTTTACTGCAAATGACGAATTTACAAATCTTGCCTGAGTAAATAATTTAGTTCCTCAATAAAAGATGCTGTTTCATTCGTAAAACTGTCCACTTTATTATTTTTATTAGCCGATAGTTCATTTTATAGTGTTTTAAAATTTATTTTAAACGTCTTTAGGGCTTGCTTATTTAACCGATTCTGATCTATTCTTTGTCTTCCTCAAAGTTCTATGCGAATTGTTTCATAAATCACTCCTGGTGAATGGATTCAGTTAAATTTCGATCGGAGATTATTATTATTGAACGAAAAAACGATGGCAAGAAGACTCTGACTTCTAAAAAAATTCACGGCTTTTCAATTTGTACTGAATATGGTCATTTTGTGATGCATGATAAAATGCGGTCCTCCGAAGTTGAAGAACGATGCCTTCGGAAGCTCTAATTAGTGATCAATATGTTGAACGATTTCTTAAATTAATGAATAATCAATCGTAATTGCTGAATAAACTGCTTTACAATTAGTCTGAAATTTCAGTGTGTTACATGTCCGACTGCAGTTAAGCAGCGAAGATGTCTACTCTGCAAGATTTTGTCAATCAACAAAAAGCGAAGGGTACACTCGGTACACCGAGTAGTTTCAGTGCATCGTTTTCATCGTTTGGTGATCTAAAATCAAAACTATCCTCATCGATCAGTGAAAGTTTGAGCGGAATTCCGTTGATTTCGCGTTCATCCACCGTTGATGTGGATTCGGAAAGCCTCACATCTCCGGATGATGCATCCACCTCTGGGCAGTTACTCTCATCGAGGAATCGGAAATTTATGAATGGCTGGTTTGGTGGATTAAGCGGCAATGGTGCGGATGATGGAGCTTGTGGGTAAGGCTCTTATCTCTTTTTATTATT